GGGTACGATGAGAAAACTAGTAAAATATCATGTATTCACGGATGCAACGTGGCAAACAACTTCCAATCTGGAAGGTAAAATAAAATAAAATTCAATCGAAAAGCGATGCCTTGTGCTAATTGCATCGTGAGAAACTCAACTATAAGACTCTTCATCCCCTAGAGCGACCCAAGATGAGTTTAGTTATCAATATTTATTGTCTAAACCTTCCAAGGCCAACTGAGTAACAGCTCCTTCGTAATCATATTTTAAGTTTAAACGTATTACACCTGAGGAGACGTGTACCAAATTGATGGATAATAAGGTAAAAAAATGTATTCCATCGTATCCTTAATGCCTAATCAAATGAGCTCCTGTTAGATCAGAAAGTAGGAATGGAGAGTTGAGGCAAATGGCGAAATGGAATAAAAACCAGATTAATGGGAGGCAAAATACAATCAGGCCGACCTCTGCAGAAATCGAGGGCTGCTCATGGAGGCCCGACACTCCAACGTATCGGGGCGCAAGGACAGAAGAAACGCCAGCAACACCTCCGGCAGTAGAGGCACCCGAGAAGGCAGAGAGCGCCGTGAAGCCAGGCACTTCCCACCAGGCGGCCGCTCGACTCTGTCCGCTTTGAGAGGCACCGCAGCCGGGAGAGACAACTGTCCCGAGAGAACCAACTCCAAGACCTCCGCTGCCGCCAGAGCCACTAGTGAGAGGCACACAACCTGATGTCGGCAGAGGGTTTCCTATGTTGTGGATACCAAGGGCCAGATCGCCAAGCATTTCGCAGGCCGTACCACTGACTGGACCTTGTGGGGGTCCCCCTCCGACTGGGGCGCCTGTGACCCCAGCTGGGGGTCCTCCGCCACTGGTTCCCGTAGGGCCGCCACTGCCTCCAGCGCTGGGTAGCCCAGCCAGATTCATAATAAGAGGCAAGCGGCGATGGATGCCGGAAGATGAGTCGGTCAGGTGAGCTACCCCATCAGTCACCTCGGAAAGCGCAACTATTAGACTGGAGAGCAGGACTTCAGCACGGCCTTTTGATATAGACTCTTTAATAATTGGAAAGTAGAGAAATAAAGTGTATCTACAGATGGGTAAACAGCTTTATAAAATATACGAGTTGTGCTCACCCTATTTCGTCTAAGGTGATGAAGGACTGGTAGTTGATTTTTCGAGACTACTAGTAAAGCAGATATATGAGTTGTGTTCATATTTCATATAAGGTGATGAAGAACTGTAGTTGATTTTTCCCACAATCATATGAGTAGATCTGATGTT